TTTTGCAGGGCGGCAGCAGGCAGGAAGGAGAGGGGTGTGGTGGCTGGTGCTGTGGCTCCTTCGGGCACCGTCCCCCTAACTGTGTCCCCCCTCTCCTCCCGGCCCAGGAGCTACAGGAAGATGGCGTGCCTGCCCATCGCCCCGCCGGCGCTGGCGTTGAGGAGGTGGCTGGGACACGGGCTCTTCGTGCTGCTCTGCCTGAGTTTAGGTAAGCAGGACGGGCCGGTGTGGGAGTGCGGGAGGGGGCATGCTGGGCCCGAGCCTTGTACGGGTCGGCAGGGGACGGTGGCCCTCAGGGCACTCCTTCTGGTGTCTTCTGCCAGGGCTGAAGCTGGGCCAGGGTTTGGGGTGGCTGGCTCTGCTTACCATGGCGGCAAGTGCTGAGGACCCATGAGCTCTTGGCTCCCCAGGCCGGTCGCGCTGCGCTGCCGGTTCTCAGAGGGGCAAAGGTGGTCACCCATCCCAGCTGAGGTGAGAGGAAGGAGGGTGTTTTCAGGCCGGCTGACATCTGTGGGGAGTACGTGATGTGGCCCCTCAGGCTTCAGCTTCGGTGGCAGGGTGGTTTCTGCAGTTTTTTGGATGGCTAAAAGTGAGTGCGTGGTGGGGAAGACGGGGCAGGGTGGTGGGTCGGAGGGGTCCCTGCCGCCTGGGCAGCACCACACACAGCAGGTGCTTTCTCCAACAACATGAGTCCCCATTAGAGGACTGCAAAGGGCTGTCCCCCATCCTTCTCCAAGGACCTGCCTCAAAGCTCACTGAAGTCCACAGGTCCCTCCTGACCTCAAAAGGCTTGGGATGAGTCTTCTCAGCTGTGTGAAATGTTAACCCCGAAACCACACCAAACTCACTTCTGAGCTGGGTTTCATTGTGGATGCAAAATAGGTTGTGCTTATTGGCAACTTTAGTGTTTCCTTGCAGCTAATGATACTCTAGAGCAAACCCAGGCTGGACTGAGGCTTTGATTAAAAATCAAGTGTTGCAAAATTAGGAGGTTTTTATGCTGATTTTGTGAAACTGGGAGATTATTTGATGCTGAGTTTCATTTTGAGTTTTTCTCAGAATCTTAAAACAAAACTCAGATAATTTAACAGGTATTGAATTGCAGAGCTTACTTTTAGAGAAAGCAACCACCTCAAACACCGCTCGTGAGATCTCTGCTCTCCTGTCTTCCCCCTACCTCTGTGCTTGCAAAGCACGTGTCAAGCACGGATGTATTTTGCCCGTCCTGCAATGGGCAAACAGTCACATGCAGAACTATTTCTCTCTCTGTACTGTAAGAGCTTGTGGTATGTTATTAATGTAATTACAAGTGTGTGATAATTTGCTGATGGTGTAGTTTCTCTAAAAAGGATGATGATTCCAAGGCCAAAGACAGGCAATACTTGGATGTACAGTCTGATGCATACTAATATCCAGTACTAGAACCGGGAGTTTGATAATAGAGAATAAGGTGTTCGTATAGTTGTACTTTTTTCAATATGGTTTACTAAGGGAATGATAGTTTATCCTGCTTTCTGTCTCTCCATCTGTGTCTTAGGCCCCTGCTCCTAAGTTTCAAATCCTCTGCCCAGTTTCAAGCAAACTTGACAGGCGGGCAGGGCTGGCAGAGGTGGGGTGTCCTTGCCCTCTACTTGGAAGCCACTGGCTAGCCACGAGCAGCACCCAAACAGTCAGAGCCCACGCTGGCCCTCCTCATGCCCAGCTGACAGAAAGGGCAGGAGGCAGCTGTGAGGAGGCTGCAGGGAGCACCAAGGGCTTGGGAACGGGGTGGGAGGTGTGGGTAGGGGTGCCTGGGCTGCGAAACACAAGGCACAAATCTGTAGGCCAGCAGGGTTTGGCCATCCTGTTTTTGAATAAACTTACTTCTCCAAATCTGATCGATTACAAAATTCTGGGGTTTGATTCTGCAAGAGGTGGAGTAGACAAAAAAAAAGCTTTTTAAAAAGCATTGTATCAGCTTTCGGGACATAATTGTTAGATACTTCCCACACAATGAGTCTGCGGAAGTCCTGGTGCCTCAGGAGCAGGTTGCTTGGCAGACTGATAAGAACAGCACAGCTGATGCACTTCCTTTCTCTGTGCACGCATACACACCCTGCCACCTTTCTCTCCAAAAAGAAGTATTCCTACGTTAGTGACCCTTGAAAATACATGGTACGGTACCCACGAATGAGTGGTAGTAAAACCTTTACTGGGACTTGTAGGTGATGCCTTCCCTAGGTCACCCACAGGGACCACAAGGACCGACTTCTGACCTTGTCGTGGCAAAATGGTGAAGCACTGGGAGACTTCCGTCTCCCTGCCAGTGACTTCCCACGCGTTGTTCAGCGAGTCACCAAGGCCAGCATTTACAGAACTGACCCCGTGTGGGACTGCGCATGACCACATGAAGGCACAGTCAAAGCTGGCACCCAGAGCCTGTGACTACATCTGGCATCCTTGGGTTTAGCCCAGGTGTTCTGCTGCTTCCACACCTCCGTGCTGTAGCACTCCGAAAGGTCCGGTAGCATGCTAGGACGAAAGCAGGTACTCTGTGTATGCTCTATGTGAGTGAAATAGTAATATAGGGAATGCTAGGCTGAATTTTTACATCATAGCTGAAGAAGGCTTTAAGAGGGTCTTAATCAAAAAGGGTTATTTGAAGGTTGTATTTCACAGGAATTGGTGTATGCCCGAGGTATGTAGATACATTTGTTTCCGCTTGAGTTGAATTTTGCTGCTCTGAGGTTCACCTGAGGTGACCCACTGAAATGCCAGTGTAATTTAGAGCTGCTTCTGAGACGTCATCCGCTGCTGGAGACACTGATGTGCATGAACACCCTGCTGTCACAGCACAGTGGAAAAGTGGCAGAATCAAGGCAATTACAGCCTTGATTACAGCACAAACTTATTTATTTATGGTCTGAACATATTGCTGGTATCCCCATGGGCTTGTTTGTCCCCTGCCATTGCACCTTCACACCTACCTATGTATATCAGGATGTTCTCAGTCACAGTTTGTTGTATTAGTGTCCTGGTTGGAGGAAAATGTTGCTAGAAGTGACCCAGTACGACCTTTCCCTGCCCTGTGCGCAAACGCGGCGTAGCCCTTATTGCAGGGCCCCAGCGAGCCTCGTTTTTGTCCATGGAGTACTTCTTTTAGACTTCCCTGGAGTCTTTTCTTCTGCCTGGGGACAGTCTAGTGCTTGGTTTCTTCCCAGTGGTGAAATTTTTTGGGAAGTTTTGAGGAAAATCCCTACAGCTTTTCTGAGTTATTGGAGAGTTGGGAGTGTGGGGAATAGACACTTCCCTCCGCACCACGAGCGAGCGCTGGCTCACAAGTAACTCACTCTGGGAATCCCCTCTCGCATGTTGCTGCCAATAAAGAGCTTGGAGTGGAGCTGGGTTTCAGAAAGGGACAAAGAAGACTGAGAACGAGAAAGATTCCTTGTTTCGTGGCCACCCCCAAATATTGAAATGTCTAGCAATGAGATTTAGCTTGGCGGCTAATTTCCATGCCAGCTCCAGTACGGGTTGTGCCTAGGGCGGATTTCATGGTGGAGATGGCAGAAATTTTTCTTTACATACCAGATTTTCCCACTTGATCACTGGATGCAAATTGAGTTTCTGTCTTATTGCCCTTGCTGCCTTCAGCTGTTTTTTTTAATTTCTTTTTTCGGATGAGTTTCTGTCTCCTCCTGTTTCAGACATGCAGAAAAGTAATGTCTTTGTCAAAAACAAGAGCAGTGCAACTAAGGAACTTCTTTTTCCATCTGTCTGTCTGTCTAGAGTGGAACCTTCTGTAACAGCTTATCTGGAGAAACAGAAACCCAACTAAAGGCGCCTCCTTTTGCTTACAGACTCTGTTTTACTTTTTCTGCTGTGTTTTTGAAGTGAAAGACTTCTTTAGAAAAAAACACAGAAAATTTAACGTAGACAAGCTATATTCTAACACAGTTAAAATACAGTTATCCCACTGCATACTGAGTTTGTAAAGCTACTGGTCAAACACTCCTTTCACCACATTGTTTCCTTTTTCCAGTTAGATCAGAACGAACCCAGATAACTCCGGTAAGCTCACATTACTCTGAGGGCAACAGCTTTTTTGCATTTCTTGGATCACTGAGACATTTGTAACCTTTTTGCAATGTGAATGTCAGACATTCCTGCATTTAAACATGCAAAGTTTGGGGCTGATGTTTTACACAGTGCGGTAGGTTACTGGCAGAAGTTGCCACCCTGTACGCCTTTCCTGCTTGTTGCTGCCGCAGTTCTGAGTTACAAGCGTGGTTTAATGGACAGAATTAATCTGACATAAATGAAGGCTGCCACTGATGGAGTTATCCCCTTACCTCACTTGTGATGAGTTGGTTTTCTGTGGAGGTCAGCCCACTCTCTTGAGTGCCAGTCTGCTTTTACACCCGACGCTGTGTACCCCAGAGGGGTATAGAGACAGGCAGCACAGTTGAGGGGACCAAACAGGTCGTTGGCAGTGAAAAGTGCAATCCTGCTCCCCTCTCCTCTGCTTCTGGCTCTTTCCTCTCCTCCACTTCTCTGTACTAGTTCTGGTACGTGTCTGATCCATGGCTGAGTTAATTCGACTCCCAGCTTAGCAGAAAGTTTCTTCTTTTTCCCTTGTTTTACACCAACGTGGTGTGTTAAACCAGCCTCTGGAGAGCCTGGCAAGGAAAGCAGTGGGACCACTTGGGGTTGGAAGGAAAAGAGGAGCCAAATCACCTCTGCATGTGTGGGGAAGGTGTGGATTGATGCCAGTTTGTCATCTGGTTGCACCAGGAGGCTGTGCCAGGCTGGAGAAGAATTTCCACGTTCAGAGAAACTCTCCTTCCTTTTAAACATGTGTTTCCTACTATAAGGGCTGCGCGCATGTAGATGTGGTATTTTTCATGAGATGGCAAGGCAAATGTGCAGAACTCAGAGAAGACTGTTTGCTTGGCATAAGGAGGTCAGTTTTGCTTTTAAATAAATGAACTTTGTGTTTAATTGTAGCTGTTCTGTCCCCTTGGAGGGACATCACCATCGGGAGTCTCAGGAGGTCATTTGAGAATATGTAAATCTTTCCCAACGCGGAAATGCCACAGGCTTTGCTTCTGCTTTTTCACTGTTGTGCTTTTAAAATATCATTGGTCCCAGGGGACTCCCTGGCTGAAAATAAAAGTGCTGACTGCTGGCTAATGGTGGCATCTCCAGCTATACTGCGCTCAAAAGGCA